GACCAAAGAGCCAGAGCTCAACCCCTGCAAACACAACTGTTTGCAAACGCAAACAGGGAGCCGGTCGGCCGAGCGGACAGCACACTGGACTTGTGATCCTGTGGTCCTGGGTTCGATCCCAGGTGCCGGCGAGAAACAATGGGCAGAGTTTCTTTCACCCTATGCCACTGTTACCTAGCAGTAAAATAGGTACCTGGGTGTTAGTCAGCTGTCACGGGCTGCTTCCTGGGGGCGGAGGCCTGGTCGCGGACCGGGCTGCGGGGACACTAAAGCCCCGAAATCATCTCAAGATAACCTCAAGATAACTAGGTGAGTACAACTAGATGAGTACACACACACACACAGGTAGTGTGTGTGTGTGTGTGTTAAATACATGGATGGCGATATACTAAAGAAATTGTTCACGACTTTTGTTAAGCCAAAGCTAGAATATGCTGCGGTTGTGTGGTGCCCATATCCTAAGAAGCACATCAACAAACTGGAAAAGGTGCAAAGACATGCTACTAAGTGGCTCCCAGAACTGAAGGGCAAGAGGTACGAGGAGAGGTTAGAGGCATTAAATATGCCAAAACTAGAAGACAGAAGAAAAAGAGGTGATATGATCACTACATACAAAATAGTAACAGCAATTGTTAAAATCGAAAGGGAAGATTTCCTGAGACCTGGAACTTTAACACTTTAGTCCGGGCATAACGCAGCATTGCGTCATCCGTTTACTGTCGGTAATCTCGGTGATGACGCAGCATTGCGTCATCCCCGAGACTATGCTGCATGCGTCTGGCTTGGTGGCTCACTCAATACTGAGGCCCCTCACACCCGGGAGTTTGGCCCACGATTTAAAAAAAAAAATGGCGTCTGTTTACAGGATCCCTGGTGAAGGTGAGGTGAACCCCGTGTATCCGCGGGCCATTTAAATCTTGCATAGTACTCCAATACAACATATGATGGGATGCGCAATTTATAGCAAGTCACTCAACCTTTCATATGATGTGTAGCGCAACCTAACCCTCTAACTGCGCGGCCTATAAATATGACACCCCCCCAGTGCTCAAGAAATAAATTCTCGGGAAAAAATTCTTTTTTGTTCTGAAAGTGTCAAAAACCCCTCCCTGTATATGGGTATAGCAACGGAATTTCGAAATTGTACTTACTTTGGCTGCTATGGGGTCCGTAAGGCGACACGTGACGTCATCATTCCCCGTGCGCCCGTGTCGTAAGCTCCTGGGGCTGGTGGGGCGCCCGGAGCGAGGCGCGCGAGTTGCTGTGAATATATTTCTGTTCATTTTTTGCGCACAGTTCCAAATACATTTTATTTGTTTATAAGTGCTAATCCTATGTATAATGAACATGTACACTATATTATGGCAGTAAAACATCCGTACTGTCCAAGGACACTGTGTTACGTGCATGACACTTGTGTACTCATATGTTGCACATATTTACCATGTATCATGCTAATTTATGTATATATACAATCTATCTACAGGCTATACACTGTCACACACTATATACATTCACCATCAACACATTCAGAACACCGCGAGTGTGAGCAGCCACACCCAGCCAGCCCTCCCTCACTCCTCCAACATTGTATTCGCCAACATTGCTCCTCCCATCATACAGTTATTCACATCAATGTTTCATGTTCATTTATGTATATTTACAACATATGTACACACTATACACTGTCACACACTATATACATTTACCATCAACACATTCAGAACATAGCGAGTGTGTGCAGCCACACCCAGACAGGCCCTCCCTCACTCTAACATCTTACTCGCCAACAATGCTCCTCCCACCATACTGTTCTTGTTTTTATTACACTAGTTACACATGTTATATATACTTATCTACATGTTTTATTTACCAGAACTATGCAAGTAAGCCAGTATTGTGTCCAAACAGTACAGTGGCCACCATACACTGCATGAGAAATCACACAGCAGACAGCAAACGATGCTACGATTACGACATCACCTCCCTCACCAAAATAGCTCCACTCAACATACACCTGTTGCTGTTATTACACTATATACACACACACACACACACTGAATATACCCATGTACATGTGTGTTCCCCATGGCGAACCACGAAGCTAGTATGGTGAGCAAAACAAGAGTGGCTGTCACACAGTGAGGCTACCTCAATTGTCTCCCTCCCTCCCTCACCAAAATTCCTCCTTCCACAATACTATGCACAATGCTAATTATAACCACAATCCTGGTCACTAATTTCTGTAAATGAATAATTGACCACAAGTTTATTTTGAAAAGGAACCTATGAAGTCGTTTGAAGATAACTAGATGGACGAAATAATGCTGTGGTGCTGTGGCTAGCGCTGTGAACACTGTGAACAGCATTGAATCACTGATATTTGAACATTGTACCCAGTCATTATCACACTCAGGCTCTTCTATAATACTATTATGGCTAAATAATACAGGTTATATATATGTTTTGACATTATTAGGCGATGCTGTGGTCACACGCTGAACAGCAGAGCTGTGCGCTCATCCTGCGAGTGCCAGCCTTGGTTGCTTACTCACTGCTGAGGCTCTCACACCCGGCAATGTGGACCATGATTTTTTTTAAAGATGGCATACAAGAGCCCTGAGGAAGTTGATATGAACCCCATGTAGCCGCAGGAGTTTTGAATGGAACGTGAAAAATAAAAAAACCCGGAGGCACGTTGCGCACCCAAAGCCTGCAGGCGCGTTGCGCAGTTAAAGGGTTAAGGGGTAAAAAAATTTGTCTAAAATCCATTTCTGAAAATATTGGGATGAAACTTTCACGACGCTGAAGCCACTGAGTTGGAGATATATTTAACATTTAATATTAACAGTATTGCGCCCTGGGCATGCACTCTGCACGTATGCATGAAGTAGGCCTGGCGGTGTGGGCGAGCGCTTGGCGACACTAAATGTGTATACTCGTTTCAGTTTTCTCACCTTAATTCTCGTGCTATGTCGCTCATTTTGGTACCATTGTGTTCACAATAGAATTCCCTATAGGTGAATATGCATATTAAGTCCAAAAGCCAAGCTTGACTCCCCACTGCAAAGCCTAAAGTCGGGAAAAGTTACCCGTGAGTGCATAAAATCAGTAAAATGTGTATACTCATTTCAGTTTTCTCACCCTAATTCTCGTGCTACATCGTTCGTTTTGGTGTCAGTGTGTTCGCAGTTAAATTCCCTGCAGGTGTATATGCATATATTGTCCAAAAGCCCAGCGCGACTCCCTTAGCAAAGCCTAAAGTTACTCCCGTGAACGAGAACCAATTATCACACCCGCAACCTAATGTGTATACTCGTTCAGTTTGATAACATCAATTTTCGTGTTACGTCGCTCGTTTTGGTATCAAATTGTTTGCAATATAAAGGCTCGTATTTTAAAACTAGTCCCATAATAATAGAGCAATAACTTGAGTTTTAACATATTTTAATTTTAGACGCTCATCATCACAACATTATTTATATCTCTCCAGTGTTCTGACATAAAATTTCATGTTACATCTTTAATTTTAGCATCAAATTGTTCGCAATGTAAAGGCAAGCATTTTAAAACTAGTCCCATAATAAAAGCACAATATATAGAATTATAACACTATCGCTCACCGGGCAGGCGCGCGGTAAACTTAGGGGGTCATGTACCGAGCGTGCGGGTAAGCGCGCGATGACACCTAAATGTGTATACTCGTTTCAGCTTTCTTACCTTAATTCTCATGCTACGTCACTCATTTTGGCATCATTGTGTTCACAATTAAATTCCCTACAGGTGTGTATAAATATAATGTCCAAAAGCCTGCCGTGACTCCCAACAGCAAAGCCTAATGTCGGCAAAAGTTACCCGTGAGCGCACAAAATCAGTAACATGTGCATACTCGTTCCATTTTTCTCACCTTAATTCTCGTGCTACGTCGCTCGTTTTGGTATCATTGTGTTCGCAATTAAATTTTTTATAGATGTGTATGAATATAATGTACAAAAGCCTGGAGTGCCTCCCCGCAGAAAAGCCTAAAGTTACCCGTGAACCAGCACCAATTTGTACACTGTAACCTAATGTGTATACTCGTTCAATTTGATAACATCAAATTTCGTGTTACGTCTTTCATTTTGGTATCAAATTGTTCGCAATAAAAAGGCGCTTATTTTAAAACTAGTCCCATAATAATAGAGCAATAACTAGAATTTTAACAAATATTTTAATTCTGGACGCTCATCATCACAAATTTATTTATATCTTTCCAGTGTTCTGACATAAATTTTTGTGTTACTTCTTTCATTTTGGTATCAAATTGTTCGTGACGTAAAGGCGCACATTTTAAAACTAGTCCCAACATAATAGCATAATAAATAGAATTTTAACTAATATTTTAAAATTTCGACCAAAAACCTATTTATAATCATATAAGTGTTTGGACATCAAGTTTCATGTTACATCTTTCATTTTGGTATCAAATTGTGCGCATTTTAAAGGCGCTTATTTTGATACTATCCCTAGGTCGATTGGATAAAAAATTAATTTTATACAAATATTTTTTGTAGTGAACGCAAGTCCGGTCCACAGTTAGGATTCAAGAGAAAAATAATGGACGCAAGTCCAGTCCAGAGTTACAGATAGTGTTAACAAATATTTAAAAATTTTGACCAAAAACGTATTTATAATCTTTCAAGTGTTCTGACATGAAGTTTTGTGTTACATCTTTCATGTTGATATCAAATTGTGCGCACTCTAAAGGCGCTCATTTTGAAACTATGCCAAAGTCAATCTGATAGAAAATTAATTTTATACAAATATTTTTTGTATTGGACGCGAGCAGTGTCCAAAGCTAGGACATGAGAGAAAAAAAGTGGACACGAGGGGTGTTCAAAGAGAGCGATAGAGTTAATTTTCACATAATTCAAATATATTTTGCCCAGCCCCAGCTTATACCCCCATTTACAGCCCAGGCTGTAGCAGTATAAGGGTTAAACGCTTGTTTTTTATTTCAGGTTGTCAAGCGCATGCGATTTTTGGCATCCAGCGATGAGGATGAAGACCTTACATCAGCTAAGAAACAGCAGTTAAATGATCACGATAGTGCCTCAGAAGATTCATTTAATGTGCTGGAAGAGGGTATTATTGAAAAGTTTGTAGATATGTGGGAAAAGGTCTATACATTTGTAGATAAAATGGTGAGTACTGTTGCTGTATTTACTTGCTTTTACTGTACTTGTATTATTGTATATAACTAAATGCATAAAAAAACAGTGTTAAATGTAATGAATCACCATTTTCTGGGTGAGACCCGAAGGCTTCCCGGAGCTATCCAGGATGATATGTATAATATTAGACTTTGACATCAGTCAGTGTGAATGGAGTTCCAGTCCTACCGGGGACCATGGCCAGAACCTGGCCCCCTCAGAGAGGTACGAGGAGTAATGGCCCCATAGAAATGCACATGTGATTTTGGAGCATTCTATATCTGCCATCGACCGGGACAGGCACCCAGAAAGGTAAGCGCCTCAAAGCAAACCCTTATGATGGTGAAACCAACAAAAATGACAAAACAAGTGGACAGAACTCCCCCAATTAAAAATGAACAAACGAGCATGACGTTACACGGGCTGCGCCGCATGTCTGCGCAGCTCCCCCCCTCCCCGGGAGGGAAAAGGGGGAGCCCCAGACCCCTTTGCTGGCGATCCACACTTCAGTTCCTCTGAGCTGGGGAGGAGTTGACTTGGGGTCTTGGGTCCCATTTGACCCTGCTTAGGTGTTGGTACCCTCGGCACAGGGCTTGTTGTTACAGAGAAAGTTGTTTTCCTCCCCCCCCCCTTCCTGTACGAGTTTGATATGAGTTCAACTCCTCCCCCGGGTTCAGTTCCGGGTTCCAGGTTCCTTTGGGTGCCTCGGTTCCCTCCTTCTGGAGGTTTTCAGCCTCCCGCATCCCGCTGCGGGAGGTGTGGGAGGCCCTTGCGGCTTACTTTCTGTGAGATCCGGATTATACCTCGATAATGGATCCTTCTTCTTTTGAGTTTGGCTCCTCTTTTTCCTTACTGGGTGCATTACGAGGTGCCAGAGTCTTCCTGGCTGGCAGACTGCCCTGTCTTTTCGTTGAGGGCATGGCATACATTTAGTCGGACCCGCATGCTTGAGGGGCGGGAGTTGATTATGGTCATTCAGGTTTACCTGGGTGGCGAGTTTGAGCACCTCAATATGTGCTTGTTCATCCCTGTGCTTCCTCGTGATATGTCGGTCGCAACTTCACGTGCAGGTTCCCTCCCTTTCGGCGCCCCAGGTGGCCAAGTTTTGTGCACCCGTGGGCATTTGGCTTCGGTCTTGCGCTTCTTTTTCCTGCTGGAGCTGTCTTTGGACTGGCTCGAGGAAGATGTGGAGGAGCTAGGTTCCAGGTCTGCATCCGGTTTGCTTGCCCTGGCAGCTGAGACAACCTCAACAAGGCTTCAGCTGCCTTGTCGAGGTTGTTTGCGTCGATTCTGAAGGATGCGGCGTCTCTGTTCTTTGCTTCAAGCCTCGTATGCCGGCAGGTGGTGCTCGTCCACTCTTTGGAATCCACTTGGGCCCCTGGCTCTCAGATTTTTGTCCTCTTTTTGTCCGTTGCTGTTTCCAGAGTCTGCGGTGTTGCATTTTTTGTATGTGACTTCGTCTAGTTACCGGCCTATGTCGGACTTCTTGGTTCTCCAGGGGGGCCGTGATGGTCCTGCCCGGAAGGTTCATGCCAGGGCTCAAGGGTTTCTGTGATCATTGTAAGCCGGTTGTGCCAGATTTGGAACTGGCTCCTGCTGGGCCTTCGGCGTCTGGTCGGCGCAGTGATTGCTCTGAGCGTTGGTCGGGCTCTCGCAAGGGTCGTCGGCCCTGTTGTGGGAAAACTTGACTCATGTAATTCATTTAAATTGATGCTAATTTCGATAGCTGTGAAGGACCACCACTTTTTAAAGGAAAAAGTGAAAACTGGGTAGAGCAAGTGGTTTACTATTAAATCCATGAACTTGTGTCCTTTGGATATTATTGATAATTATTATCTTAAATATTAAAGGGACTGTAATTTATTAATCAAATCTTCTCACCCAAAATGGGGGGTTATATGTCAAAAGACGATTGTATCCCTGACATCATTTCAGTGTGGTTCGTTCACTGAAGTAAATGAAATAAGTACAGTAATTGCAAATTGGGCAATAATAATTAGAGGCGAATGGGCCTCAAAATACTACAATAGACTAGTATTACTACCAGTGGTTAGTAACATGGATCTCAATGGGAGATCATTAAAATGTCTACGTTATTAGTATCTCTACAATAACTTATACAGCTTGGCTGTGAATTGCAAGAGGTGTGAAGTTAACTGCCACACTCCTGACGAAGTATTGCGTCTGACAAAATTGTTGCCTGAAGGTGGGACAGCCTAGTACCTCGCTTGACGTGGACCCGGTTGCTGCAAGGCAAGTAGACTATAGAAGCTTTCTACTTGACTATTAATAATACATCCTAAATTAAAGAAAATACTCCTACTGAATATAACAATCACTGTAGGATTTGTCTACAGATATTAATGCAATATTTATTCCTATATAAATTAAGAATATTACTACAGAAGAGACGTACTGGGTTTTTGCTGTAATTGTATGGCCTAACGACAACTAGTCTAAATGTTAAATGTGCACACAGTATAACAAATAGAAAATTTATAGTTGCCAAGTCGCGTGTCCGTTGGTGGAGAGAGCTATGCAATCCTTCGTCCTCAGCTGCTGTGTGAAGGACGTTGACTTTGGATTTCGTATCACTCTGGTTCCAGGACACAGCTATTGATTGCCAATTTAATGTGGCAACGCTTTTGTAAATGTAAGAACAAATAATTAAACTAAGCAAATGCTTTGCTATAGCGTTGTCATTCTCTTGCACATTGCTAATATGGCGTTGCTCGTCGGAGTCGGGCAGCAAGCAAGTCGCTCTCCTTCTTCCCAGGCTGTGCTACGCATGCGCAGTTCGCTCAAAATATTCTCGAGCTTAAAGTATTTTATTTTACTTGTAATTAATTGGGAAGGCAAGGACTGGTGACAAGTGCTTATTTCACTAAGTAATGTATTAAGGTGCAATATATTTTTGCACAATGCAAGTCAGCTTATCAAGACTGCATAAAGAAATATATATGACTTGCTTTACTGTACAATATTTTCCACTATAGTTGTTAATACACCTAAATGAACGAATTCAGTAAGTAATAATATGTTACGTAAATAATCAGCTAAATAAACGATTATCCTTAGTAAGGGAACGTAATGAACTAAACTCTGTTTAGATGCAACTAAATGTGGAGAGATTCATGTTTTAGCCTGTAGCTACCTCCCGGCATCATTGAGACTGTGGGAAGAATTTGGCAAATATTGCGTCGTAATAGAAACATTAATTGAATTAGTTCTACAAATTAGTAGAGTTAGTAATTACTATGGTTAATACAATAATGATGTATTGTAATACAAGAAATGATGTATTAGTGTTGGAAACTTTCCAACACCTGTCTCGGTTTACCCCATTGACGGAGTGATAGGGAGGGAAACTCGCGCTGTTTGCTCTCACCTGGTCCAACGATTTGTTAATGTTTTCCCCAGCCTACGATGGCATTGGGTGGTTCTTCCTCTCTTCCTCATTTGGGGGGGGGGTCAGGGCTGGCAGGGCAGGACTCTTTCCCTGTGCTCTGTCAGGTCATCCTGGAGTAGGTTCGCTTGGGCATGGTCAAAACGACAGAGTCTCGAAGGTGGGTTTCCTGCCTGTTTCCAGTTCTGAAATGGGACTGTGTGGACCTGCGGTTCATTCTGGACTTTTCTCATCTCAACCCATGGGTCTTTTGCTCTTCCTTTCGAATGACTATTCTGTTCCCAGGTCCAGCTGCTTTTTGGAGCTGGGCGCTTGGATGGTGTTCCTGGACCTCTGGGATGGGTATTAGCATGTTCCAATTCATCCAGGGTTCAGGGACTGGCTCAGTTTTGTCGTGGACGACTGGCTTACCATTTTCGTTGCCTTCCTTTCGGCTTAAATCTGGCTTACCTTGATGATTGGCTGGTCTGGCTCCCAGCCAGTCTTCATCTCTGCTCGCCAGTTATTTGGTTCTTTCCCAGCTCGCCAAGTTCAGGTTCTTGGTGAACTGGAGGAAGTCCCATTTGGTTTCCTCTCAGGTTCGAACTTGTGTGGGACTCTTGGACTGCTTCATTGTCTCTTCCTCTTGCGGCATTGCTGTGGCTGCGGTCCCACCTTCGGCTGTTTTCCAGGTCAAACGTCGGTTGTTTGAGCAGCTGTGTGCGAATCTGAATTTCACTGTTCTGGTCTACCCATCAGGTCGGATCTGGTTTAGGCAGCTGTTTTGGTTCCTTCGGAGACATCCCTTCCGCCAGTTCAGCAATCGCTGGGTTTGGACCCCGGGGACCTTGCGTTGGCTGCTGCATCGCTGGCTTCTTTTTGGGGGTTTTGGGGTTCAATGCCATGGTGCCTACCTGAGCCCTAGCTCGAGGTGTTTACGGATGCCTCGTCTCTCAGATGCTACAAAGTACTGGGTGACCGATTAGCAAGATTTGTAATCCGACATGTTTTGGACATTAGTGCTGATGACATCAAGGCACAACTTCAGGCTGCTGACTTTCCAATCTTAGGAGTCAGGAAATTTGTGTGTATAACAAATGGGGAACTGTGTGATACCGATACTGCCCTACTTATTTTTCTCGACTACTTTTTCCCTGATCAGGTTTGGCTTAATGGCTTCCTCCATAAACTAGAGGTGTACATTCCATATCCCACTCAGTGCTTTTGATGTAAAGGTTTTAACCTTCTTGAGATGATATTGGGCTTAGCGTCCCCACAGCCCGGTCCTCGATTAGGCCTCACTTTTGTTACACCCCCAGGAAGCAGCCCGTAGCAGCTGTCTAGCTCCCAGGTACCTATTTACTGCTTGATAACAGGGGGCATCAGGGTGAAAGAAACTCTGCCCATTTGTTTCCGCCTCCACCGGGGATTGAACCCAGAACCTCAGCACTACAAATCCGAAGAGCTGCCCACTCAGCTGTCAGTCCCCTATACCATACTTCGAAAGGCTGCACCAATGATGTCAAATGTGGCAAATGTTCTGGTTCCCATTACACATGAAACTGTACATCAGATATACTCTGCTACTCAAACTGTGGTAGCAATC